GCCCGATCATCCGCTTTACAGCGTCAAAAATAAAAAAGTTATAGGCAAAATGAAAGACGAATTTGGTGGCAAAACAATTTTAGAAGCCGTTTGTATCAGACCGAAAATGTATTCGATCTTAACCACCGATCACAATTTAAAGAAGGCAAAAGGGGTTTCCAAAGTAGTAACCGAGAAATGGTTAACCCACAAGATGTATAAAAGCTGCCTATTTGACTGGGTTTCTTATTTAAATAAACAACAATTATTTAGATTGGGTAAACACCAGGTGTTCACGATCTCTCAACAGAAACTTAGTCTGTCACCGTTGGACACAAAGCGCTACATATTGCCGAACAGAATCGATACGTTAGCTTACGGGCACAAGCTAATCAGGCCGTAATTCGGTATCTTCGGGTACTACCTGAAGTTCCTCTTTGACGAAACTCCTATTTGGTCCGTTTAATAAATAGTACAAAGTGGGACCCGTTTTGACCCTCTTGCCTTTCACTCGTTTAAATTGACTGGTGCGCTTTTCAATTTGATAGACGTCCACGGACCAGATCGGATCTGTTGCCCTTCTGACGGTGCCGCCCTCTTGCTCGCCCGGGTAATAGAGGTACCTAACTAATACATTTGGAGGAAATTCTCGCTCGCTCGTTTTTGGAGGTACACTAGGTGTTTGTTTCACTCCGCTCGCTAATTTTATCGCTTCTGCAGGAACGGCATCGATTAACCGCGTTTTTTCCTCGTTCAACGATTTTATCACTTGAGGCAAACGCTCTACCCATTCCACGTTACGCACACCCACGTTTAACATTTCTTGAGCGTATTGGTGGCCAAATAACCTTTCAGCTAAAGTACGGTTAAACCTTTCCACGATTCCTTGAGATCTGTGTACCCCAGGTTCACCCACTTGAATTGGTACTGTATTTTTTGTCATTAACCGTTTAAACTCACCTTTGAATTCAGATCCCGAGTCTACCATTACGAATTTGGGCCAGGTTAGAGGTGATCGCTCGTAAATTTTCTTTATTGCCTCACTCACTTGCTCGGCGGTTTTACTGGTCAACGGTTCTGCTTCTTTATACCGCGAACCCACGTCTACCACGGTCAAAGCGTACTTAAACGTTTTCCTTTTAACGCGGTCCCAGGGTAAATAAAGTACGTCCATTCGATGCGCGTAATTAGGTTCGACCGATTCTGATTGCAACATTGTAGGTCTTGGTACGTAATGTGGTGCGGGTTAGTATATTTGCCAAATGGCCTGCTTTTTTAGCCAGTTTCTGACGACCGATTTGTCCGCACCGGTCTTTTCGTGGAAACGACCCACCGCGCTTTCTCCTCGCCAGTAACCCTGTGGGCTGTAAAATAGTTTTTTCAATTCTCTCTCCATTTTAAAATAAGTTACGCGTAGCGAGCGAAGCGAGCTACAACCGAAGGAAGTACGAGTGGAACGAGTTACGAAGCGAAGCAACGAGCGTAGCGAGTATTACCGTAGCGAGTATCGATAGCCAACAACCCGACTATCGCAGTTCCACCTATAATCCAAACAAACTTGCGAATTTTTTGATCTTCGGAAGGCTCGTAAAAATCGGACAATGTAGGCTCTGGCGGTAACAGCGTGATATTCTTACCGGTCAATTCCGAATAAGTTCGTAAGGCTTCGTCCACGTTTACAAATGTCTGCTGACTCGCGCGTTCTTGTCGCATTCGTTCGTTTAAAAAGTCTAGGATGTGTACGCGGTTTTGTTCCCATTCTTGTTTTGCTTGCGCCAGTTGTTCTAACGCGAGGTCGTGTCGCTTTCGTTCTTCGTCAACATTATTTTTGATAAACTGCTAAATAAAAAATTTGATCCCGTGAATGCCAAGGCGTTTACTATCGCTCCTCCAACCATCATTAAAGCACTAGCCATTTTTAAAATAAGGTTAAATAAAATAAGAATAGTATTATATAAAAGTAATGTACACCAAAAAGCTTAACCCGAGTCGCAGACTTAAAGTTCCTCGCGCGATCAAGGCGAAAGGAGAGAGGTAACAATTACCCACAACCCGAGTACCATAGCCGCAGATCACACGTTAAACGTAAAATTTTCCGCTTTAGGCACGGACGACGTCATCGTACCCGGTACCGTCAAACTCGCTTTTAAACTCGATCTAGACGGCGCCTCGGACGCCGACAGGACTGTTTATAACAACGTGGCGAGAAACCTGGTGTCGGAAATAAACGTGAGTCTACAGGGAAACAAGATCGTAAGTTACCGGGATGCGGACGTATTTCACAATTTTAAGGACAATTGGTTACCCCCGTCGCAGACTAAAAATATGGCGTACTTTGGTTTAGAAAGGGAGAATGTAGCTAAGATACGTCTCGACGCTGGTGACAAAAACGAAGCCGCAAACAGCGGTAAGGACAAGGCAATCGCCGACGCTTTTAAAAATCGTTATGCGATTCCACTAGACACGCCTATGTTGACGGATCATACCTCCTTTTATCCTTCGTGGTTTAAAGAGCCTCTGACGTACCAACTGACTTTTAACGGGCACGACAAAGTGGTTAACTCGTCAGATACCGCCGCGGAATACTCCATTTCAGACCTGACCTTGGAATACGAAGTCGTTACTAATCGAGACTTGGCGCAAACACTAAAAAATAAAAAACGATGTATTACCTATTCGACCGGATTCACTCGTGGAAGAAGCAAGCGGTAAACAAGAGTGACACGCTATGGAACATTAGCATCGACCAGACGATCAAGAGCTTGAAAGGAATTTTGATCCTGTTTAAAGACCCGACGATCAAGAACCCGCAAAAATTTTATAATCCGCATATCACAAAAACGGTCGTGACGGTCGAAGGGAAACCTAAGGGAAACCTAATGCCNGTACATTACTAGGGATGCACAACTTGTAGATGCAGACATCTAGATTATAATTGTACGTGTAGGAGAATTTCTCACTTACCATGAATACCATGGGTAACTGCAGACAGGGTTTTTAGTATTGACTTTTGATAGGAAATCAAAACTTTGAATACTCCTCAACTGTCAATTTTATCTGATTTTTGCTACATCCAGGTGACATTCACGTCCCCATAAGACAGACCTTGCGTGCTGGCAAGCAGTCATTATCTGTGGCATGTAAACAGTTTCACTTTTAGCAAGCTTTTCAAGCCGAAGCCACAATTAATTGTCTCCAGTTGCTGACTTTGTTGAAGCATTCAAGGTGCCATTGCCATTGGCACCCAGGTGTGTGAGTTGGAGGAGGAGACCTGCTTTCCTGAGGGCAGCCAGGAATATGCCTTGACAGCAGTACTGATGACCAACCACAGTCCTCAAGCCACGCAGAGGTACATGTAGGATTCAGTGCATGTACATGTACATAAACCACATGTTATCGTATGCCATGATGCATGGATGTATAGGTCTACATGTAATTAAATTTCGGGGGGGGGTATGTTACACCCCTACAACACCATTGTTCCCAACTACAGTTGCACGTGAGTGCAGTCCCAACTAGAGCGCTGTAGATGGGGAGGCCTAACAATAGTTGGGGCAGTCGCCGCCGGCCATGTGTTCCCGGCTGCACCAGGTGACTGGGATCATACATTTTTTCTATGATATTACTTTACCCGTGCACGGCCGTGCTGACCTTTAATTAACCCCTGCGGTTTGGCACAAAATGTTAAATTTCACAAAAAGCTTCACATACATGTACATGTAGCTGAGTGGGAACAAATTTCTCTAGTTGGGACCATATCTCTACAGTTATATGGTGGTCATTTCTACCTCCATGGTCAGATTTTATGAAAATTGGCATTAGTCTGATGTTGCGAGGAAGTAGCAATGGACCAAACTTGAACTATAACATTTATATCCCAGCCAAAGTTGGGCCCAGTCCAACTGAAGCAATATTGTTTGGCCGGTCCCAACTGTAGTTGGGATTAAGTCACAGTCCCAGCTGTAGTTGGGACCAATGCTATAATGGGGATGGGGTGTAACAGATACATGTATGTATTTGTATGAGAATAATGTATTGACCAACGTGTACATGCATAACCCCAGACAGTAAAAAGAACAATGTTCATCATAAAACTTCAATATACAACCTGATACTTTTCTAGTACTTAATGGAACAAGTTGTGGGGCATGTAGGCAGCATATTAGACACTGACTGTAGAACCCCCATCGACATGTTATCGGTGTACATGTATTTCAACAGCTACAATTGGTTGGATCACTCATTTCTACGCATACCCGCACTATCCTGCAGCCAAAGTGGCATTACCAAGCAATCATTGCCAGGGAGAGAGGGACATACTTGTCTTCCAGCCACACATACACACAAATCAGATTCCCCACAGGTCCCCCAACTAAATGCTACATGTACATGTATTGCTATGCCAAAGAGTACATGTACTGTACATACCTGCAGTTACCGTGGTGTGCACATATGCCAACTACAGTGTTTTTCTGTGGTTGAATCAGTGAATGGTTATATAAGTAGACATGTATATACATGTATACAGTGTACATGTGGATTTTTGAGCGTCATCACTTTCTCAACATTTTCTGAATTACAGTGGTCAGAAGAAGCAGAAACATGATGAAATCCAAGTCCCACCTCTGTTTAAAAACAACCATGAACTCTGCAGCATACAACATCAGTACCCACTGGCAACCCGTACAAGCAGGAGATCGCCAGTGCATATCTAGGTAATTATGATCTTTCAATTTTCAGTTCGTCTTAAATGTACTGGTACTATTTCAATCTTTTGTACTGGTTTAAGAGTTAGCCACTCACTGAACTCTATTCAGTGTTCCTGTCGTGTTAATTTGTCATAAAGGAAGATTATTGGCATTTTCCCAAACTTTACAAGGTTTTGCCATTGGAGGTTTATAGCTGCTTCTGTGTTTCTTGTCTGAATTAAGGACAATCAAGGTGTGCGAAACATGTCCAAATTACGGTAGGCCGACTACAATTTCTGAATGATGTAAAAGTTCATTGTTATTGAACATGGATCAACACCTGCGAAACAATTTACTCTTTATTGGTAATACCATTTTCTTAAAGGTAAAAGTCTTTTAATCACAAAGGAATTTTGCCCTTGAAATTTAGAAAAATATGTGTATTTAAAATCCTAAGCAATATTTGTAGACTATAGTTTTTGTAGAAGTAGAACATAACCCATGTAGTGATTCGTCATGCTTTATTTGCCTTGCCATTTTCTGATCCACTTTTCTGTGGCCATCAGACACTGTAAGGAATCCTGTGTGTGTTACCGTTATTCAAATCAACTTATCATTTCTTTATGCAGGCCATGTTTGGATATCAATTCAAAACTTAGAAGTTGGGAAGCAGATAAGGCCAGGAGAGATTCATTTGTAGTCAGCTTGCAGAAGGAGATGGAGAATTTCTCCAACTAGACTTACCAGCCCGTCGTTGTGATAACCAAGACTCTACAGAAAAGAGAGCTCTTCAGTGAGGCCAAGGTGTGTGTATACGCAGTGCTTAATCATACCTTAATTAGGGGAGGTTTAGTAATGAAGAACCAAACTGGTACATGTGTGTTGAAAACCAAATTATATATAGACATAGGTTTAACTGAGGTTTGAAAGTTGGCTGGGTTTTTAACACGTGTTTATCATGATTCTACTAATAACCACCAATCCATTGCTTTTTGTTTTTAATAAGAAAACTCGCTAGCTTTGGATCACTTTGTTTGATTTATCAGTTTTGATTCTATTGCTATGTGACCAGACAATAGCAGAACACGCATGTGATCAAGAGTATGCTTCCATCTGCGGCATCATGTACATAGTGGTAGTTGTAAATGTAATGGAAACCATTCCGTTTTTGTATCAGAAAATGAGCCAATACCTGTACATGCATGTGAACAGGTGGTGAGTCAAGGGGGCAAGTGCCCCCAAGTTTGAAAGGTTGGGGAAGGGCATTTGCCTCCCTTACAACCCCCCACCACCTTTCTAAGTATTTTCTTTTTTAAATGGGTGAATATGAAGTAAAGTTTGATTAGTAAAGTCATGTGTCAAGACGGATACATGTAGTTACAGTTGTAGACATTTTTTTAATTAATAGGCTGTGTTCTGTTCAAGCTTTACCATAGTATTGCTTGGCACTGGAAAAAACGTAATGGCTACTATGAAAATAATTCAAGATCCTCACATTTGAAACCATCCTTTTTGCCCTCCTTGGATGAAATTTTCTGTGGACAATTTGTAAGCTCTCCCCCTCCCCTGCAGGTTACTACGGTATGGCATATGAGAAAACTTATGCCTTTGTCTACACAGTACATTTGGTCACCTTAACAACTACACATACACTGCCCTTTGTTTACATTCCAGTCGCTGTTTACAGTAGACATGGAAAATAATTGGCATGTATCCAAATGTACTTGGAACTAGGTCTACATGTACATAGATGGTAAACTTTGGGAAATACATGGTGTAGCTTTGATTCACACAAGGCCATTGTTTTTCTTTTCTGTTTTTTAGGCTAATGGCTTCAAGTACGTCACCTTAGGGGGGTCAGCATAATTTTCTAGCTATGCGAGAGATGCACAAACTGCATTCTGAGGAGGAGCTCTTCAAAAGTCGACGGTGCAGTGTTTATTATCATGCAGCACTGTCCTTAGAAGCCACCCTGGCCTTGGCAAACATCCACAATGTCATTGGTGGATTTAGGCACATCATTACGTGGATTTAAGATGACATTCAATAACAAGGTAAGTACATCGGGCATATTAAAAATGTTCAAATGGTACTTTAAAGGTCTTGGCTTAGTTTCAATCACGTTATATTGCTCATCAAATTTTTTACTCGGTCATAACACTGTTGGTAGAGCATTGAAGTGGCAGTGTATAAACTTGAGGCTAAAGTCCAAGTTCTGCCCATCTACCTTTCAATGAAATTAAATTTGATTTTCAGCAGTTTAAAAAGAATAAGCAGGCAAGACATTTAATAGCTTATGAGACAATTTCCTTTTCTTTGGTTGCCCTGTGATGTAATTTAAAATTTTACATTGAAAGGAGAGAAATGCCACAAATTCATGTTCATGCTTGACCTGTTATATTTAATTACCTGAACTTCTCAGTTTCATGAATAGGGGGTTTCATATACTAAGCTATATAATTTTCTTGATATTTTATATTTTTGGTTACCCCAGGTGCAGTTGTGTCACACAATAAAGGAGGAGACAGCACTCCCAGGAAAGGACGAGTGGAAAAACACTTGCTGCAAAGTCTTGAACCAGAAGGCAAGTGCATACTGAATTAAGTTTATAAAGACGGGTGCATTGATACAATTATATGAAAATTGTATCGGCCAAAACAAATAGAATGCCTTGATGTGGCGCATTGCACAGTACATAAACTTTGTCTTTGTTCGTGTTTGGAGTGCCTCATTTTCCCCTTTGCGAGACAAAATGCAATGCTCCCCAAGACAGTGAACAATTACACATGTTTGGAAGGTGAAGTAAAACTTTTCAAAACTGCCATGTGGAGTAAGATATTAAGGACTTAACAGCTCAGTTTGGAGACGTACAGGAAATGAGTTGTCTTTTGTGCCTATTTTGAAGTACAGCAATGAAATTAGGAAACTAAACACCTCAGTTTATGTGTACAACTTTGTGTACAACAGTGCCAAAGGCAGCATTCAAAAGTCTTAAGGAGATTACTCTCCACTATGAACATAGTTACCTCTGGATATTGCTATGTTAAATTTGCAAATTCAGTAGTTCTAATGAATAATATGTACGTTTATTGCATACATTTTTAAAGATTTGGGAACAGGGAGGGGAAGGGAGGGGAGTGCACGGTATGGGGTTCCCCTTGGCCCCCACACCACAGTTATCTCGGGATGCAAAGTAACTTCTTTGTCTGTGTATTAACAGGATGCCAATGGACAGGAGATGAGGTCCATCCTATTCCTGGCAGACAAGGAGGGACCAACTTTTGAACTGACCACACAAGCTTTTCAGATGTGCTTTTCGAGAATGCTGAACTGAAGGGCTAGACTATGAGGAGAGAAGACATCGAGGGAGTTCCTCAGATTAAGCTGTGTATTTTTGCTCTCCCGACTAGTGCCCTAGACACACTTTTGCAAGACTTAGTGCAGAAGAAACTCGCATTGGCTGGATTTAAGAAGGAAGGGGAGGTTGTAAACAAATTGCAGTGAGTACAGCATAATGCGATGTTTTAAACAGAGAGCAGCACCTGGGTGAAAGTTGAACAACGTTTCCCGACTTATGCAAAGCGGGACGTTCTCTTCCTATATGCAGGAGCAAAAGGGAACTTCTGCAGGTTGCTGAGGCTGAGTGAAAGTCAGACAGCAGAACAGCAGAACTTCCGGAAAGGTGCGCCATACAAAGGGGAGTCAAATACTGTTGGATTCTCCCTTTGTATGGAAGCATCTAACCTAACTCCAGAGATGGTTGCCAACCTCAGTGTGGAGTTAGGAGGATTCCACCTCACCATCCTGGACATGCCAAAGGTACATTTAAATGTACATTAAGAAATGACCAACTAAAAAAATGAATGAAATACACTCCGATACTTTTTTCACATTGGCACAACACTACCAAGTCACCTAAATCTATACTTAATGTCAGACAGATTTGCAGTGTGGGTAGTGGTGCAGTATATAAATCTTTATTTTAATATGATCTTTGAGAAACTCCTAACACTTCAATGTGTCTATGACCTTTATAATCCAACTAATTTCTACGGGGATACGTGTCATTGGATGCTCATGGTAGTTGAGGTTTTTGACCAATGTTTCCCAAAATGCACCATGGTGCCAGTCCGGTTGCAGACATGATTGTGGAAACTAAGCATATTGGTTCCTTATGTCTGAGTGTGCTTTCAGGTGAAACATGGTCAGATCATAGTCTTCTGCAACTCATTTTTTAAGCCAACAATTCCACCTAAAAAAAAATGATAAATTTCTTATATGAAGATTTCAGCCATCCAGTGCTGATTTCACTTATACACATTTGTAACTTTGTGGTAAAATATTGACTTACATTTATATTTTTATCAATTTTCTTGGCAAAGAAGACGACCTACTCGAGACCCACTCCTTCAAGACCGAGACCAAGACTTCAAGACTGAAACTTTTGCAGGTCGATACCGAGACCTAGTCTTCCAAGATCAAGACCGAGACCAAACAATAAACATGTACCGGTATACTATTTTATGCAAAGCTGAATGAGGACAAGCAACATAATACGATAACTGTATTGAACATATAAAATAAAGAAATTAACGTATGCAGCACACCATTGAGCATAAATATATAGATTAAAGGTTTTTTTAACACTTGACACATTTCATTTTACCTCTGGGAAATACAATGTAGTTGTGATGAGCTGCAGACTTTTGATATGTCAATATTAGCAGGTGTATGGTTTAATTATAACCATGAACTCCCAAGCCCATTTCCATTTAATTTCAATTAAGATGTATGGCATATTTATACGGTTCACACAAATTTATTGGGCATGATTTGTCCAATACCAAAGTATAAAATGACCTTATGTTAAGGCTAAATGTCCGACTTTATCGGTGATACTTCTTTAATGATCACTGGACTGGTTAGAAAGGTCAGTTAGCAGAAAGAAAGTTACCCACTGATATGGTATTTCCCTGTTGATTGAAATCGTCATTTCCAACCTGAGTGACCCCACTGATGGAAACATTAAAATTGTTTTCATAAACAAAAATTAAGAAAAAAATAGTAGCCCAGTAAGATGTTGATTTACTGAGATGACAAATGAGGGAAAAGAAATACATTCTTTGGGCACGTGTGCCAGTTAACTGTGTACCAGTTCCAGTGCTTCCAACCTCGTCTCCATCGTGTTGAGCGTTGAATCGTTCCCAAGGCTGTCTCCCGTGCTGGAAATAAAGTAACAACTTTAGACGCAGTTGTGGTATACTGTATTGACTAGTCTCTGTCCAAGCATCAATTTCATTCTTTATCATGGAAATTTGTAACATTACGTTGTCGTGTTTGGAAGCTAGACTCTTACGGAGGTCAGCTGGCGAGTGCGATCGTCCACATTATATTGTGGTCTCGACAGGTCTCGAGGGGGAGACCCAAGCCTTTGACATCCGAGACCATGACCGAGACCAGCACTTTTGAGACCGAGACCATCCGTCCCGAGACCGAGACCACAAAAAGGTCTCGAGATGGTCTCGAGACCCTCGAGACCAATAATACTGCAGAGAGAACTACTAGTACTAGCGGCAGGATAGTCCATGATGTTTGTATGTAACCCCCCCCTCCCCCCGGGGCAGTGTACAAGAAGGCCCGTACAATGATTCCAGCCCTTCACCTGTAGCCTAGGCTATGCATACGAATTCCATACTTCGTTAATTAAACTACCTTTATAATTGTTTTAATAGCGAATCAGCCTTGAAATTGTAACACTTCATAGTTTTAATCAATGACGGCTGCCCCGCACGTACTTACAGAACTAACTGGTGTGACCGTGCCCCGCTTTAACACAATGATCACTCAGATTGGCGTTTGCATACGTTGTGAACGCAATATTGAAAATGTACAAGTTTTCCACGGTGACAACTGAAATGGAATATTCATCTGTCACCAATTGCAAAAGAAAATATTCATATTCAAAGTAAGTTACCTCAAAAAGAAGGATAGATCTGGGGGCACACCAACCCCCCCCCAGCACCTGGTAATACATATTTTTCATAAGGAAGGAGAAATTGTAGACTCACGGTGTATTTCATTCTCCTTCCTTCTCAAAACTGTAAAAAAAAAACCTAAATGTAGTCCCACTCCTCAAAAGATCATCAAAGGTTACATAAAAAATTTCAAGTATTTTTCCCCCAAAAGCGAGTCCCCCCTCCCGAAACAAAATGGTTCTGGATCCAAAGCTGAAAAATTATACGAAGGCCGACTGATTTGAGAAAAATAATGGTTGCGGACCAGTAAGTAAACTGTCGTAGCCAACAGTGATAAACACCTGAACTTTAAAAAATCGGGAAAAGTACTCAAGAGTTTCCCAGGCGTTAAAGACGCACATCAAATTAAAGCCCATTTTATAATTGTTCACTTTCTTTTCAACTTTCTATAATGTCACCCTTAAAAGGCTGTCGTGAAGCACCTTGCCAGTATGAAATATTGCTGCCTACACTTCTCGAAAAATAGACCGTTTTCGGGCACCGATTTCTTTCAAATCTCACTCAGACACAAGCTGGTATTCTTTCTGCTAGTCTAAACCTGTCTTTTCAACAAATCTTCAAGTTCGTGGACCACAAAATGCTCTGTTTCATAGAGAATTTGAGATATACAAATTGTGGTTTGCCACATGCAAGCCCAGTTTTCGGCCTATTTACTGGCCTGCAACCCTATACTGTAGGGTGCACTGAACTAATTCAAGCTCCATTGAAAACAGTGTAAACTCAAAGTTTGGAGCCCAATTACAGGCAACTGAAGTCCCTGAGGCCTCTCAAACAAAAAACGTGTTGTTTGGTCCTTCAGATTTCATTTGATTTTCAAACTTAGTACGTTAACAAATGAATTTTTAAATTATCTGCCAAAATCAAACTCACCCCCCCCCCAAAAGTGAATGTTCCCAACGTCTTCTCAGCAGCCATTTTTCAAATGGCATTCCTCACCTTTTCAAGCTCTTCCGACAATTTTTCAAAAACAGTTTTGCCTGCTTTGCCCCCATAATGAGAGCCCCTGAATCTACATAGATGATTCTGGGCCATACTTACACAACTTCACAATTTCTTGGTCCACACAAACCCCTCTTTTTGAAACAATTTGTAGGGGTACTTGTTCGGCGCCTCTGCTTGGCGGAGAATTTTCCTTGAATAATTGTGACCAAAGATTGTGTAACGGTCGATTACACACTTAAGGTTCGGACGACCTCACCAGATTGGGATTTCCATTTAACATCAACAATCAGGAATGATTTATTTCGGAATCACATGAGCATTACGAGAGAATTACGATACATTGATTGCCAGCCATCTTTGATTGTATCCCAGCATCCTTTGCTGTGTTTACAGGGTGCAGACCACTAATTCAAGTGAGAATTT